CGACATACCGACAAACCGACATACCGACAAACCGACAAACCAAGTTACTGCTTTATATATAAGAAGGAGAAGGATAAATTGTACTATCTTACATGTGCGTAGCTACACCAAATATCTGCATAGTCAAAGGAACTGCGAAATCTGAAGATTATGCCTGTGAGATCATTATCAGTAGGTAGAAGCGAAACATGAAGGAAATCAGGTTTACCCCGAAATTACAAAGAAAAATACTAAAAGACCTACGGGCTAGCTCCTGCATCATCGACACTCGCTGCCTTCGGGCAAGGACACTGCGACGCTGTCCGCGGACGCATGTCAAACATGGAACGTGCACATCCGCGGCCCAAGTCCCTTGGCGATCCTCCATAGCTACCATTCAATCCAAGCTGCCGATGATGCAAGCTGCCTGGCGTCAGCTAGAAGCTCTCTTCCATGACGAACCATCGCGCACCTCCGAACTCCTTCCTTCCAGTTCTTGGCAGTTCTGGTTGAGATGCACTGCATTGATATCCTCGCAGCTGATGAGGTTGGACGACGGCGGAGATCACGAAGGTGTTGGCCCGTTTACTGCGCAAGCGGTGTAATGACAGTCCATTTGTTAGAGGTCGTGGGCGTCAGGACTGCAGTAATGCTTCAACGGTCACCGTGCCACTCATTTTGAGAAGGAGCAAAAGATACTATACTCAGATGTTCACAGTGCTGGTTTTCGAAAGAAAGAAAGGCACGTCCGATGCTATAATTGGTCTTGTTAGGCCCGTCAAAATAGGAAGTCACAGCAGTTAGTGCGGCTCCAACGTACTGCTCTTAAAACTTGAGCCTTTTAACAAAACTAGACCTCCAAATGCTATGGTCGACATAATGTGCTCATTTTACCTTCTCAACTTTATCTTGTCGTCAGATAAAGAAAATTGGCTCCAATGATGCTGCATTACTTGAGCTACAATAATTAAATAATATAATTTGAGTGCAATTCTGATAGTCTCTCGAAATAGCTAGCATTCACCAAGGCGATCCTAAGACCCTTTTTCTTATGTAAAACATAAAATCTGTTTTCGATAGAAACAGAAAAGATTGAAGCTCTATGAGTATCTTTGAGCTCGTGGGGTTACTAGTTCTGGTGTCTGTGGAGCGAATGATCAGCTAGGTTTCGATATTAACTCGCTTTCATCACCAACCTGAATTCAATATTTTCGTGCACTTGTTCAGGCGACAGTGAGGCTGTGATGTAGTAAGGTGTATTATCGTAGTCCGAGGCAGCCTTATCAGCTAACTTGGTTATATCAATGGAAGAGTAATCCGATTGTCGGCTGTCTACTACCACCAGATATCTCCTGCAGCGAAATCATTACTATATAAAGTTTCTGGATACCTGATCCAGGAAATATGTTGCACTACCAGACTGTTGGTGAGAGCGGTGTTTGAGCGCTGGAGATGTCCACCTCACGCATGAATTCACGATTTCCAATATTGTCGACGAAGTGTTGTGGAGGGTTGATCGAACAAGCTCTTTCTAGTAGATTCCAAGGTCTAAATAAAGATTCGTTTTCTAGCAAAACAACACCGCATGAGTATAGATCCGGAGCTCCCACGATCTAATTGGTGTCGTGAGCCCATGATCTGGAAATGTTGTCTGCAGAAGACAGGGAATTTGCATGCGCTTCAACCTAATTCGACTTGTGGATTTGCGTTCAGTGTTGAGTTGATTCCAGTATGCTAAGAGGGATAGACCAGAAATATTCTCAATATAGCGTTCGGTAAAAATGAAGTTGGGGGAGGGAGGAGGCACACATGAGTATCACAGAAAACGCGTAATACCCTCTAAGTTCCATATCATACCAACTATAATACTCCCCCCCCCCTTACCCCACTCCTCCCTCTATGTACATTTTCACCAATTGTTTCGTTCGAGTAAAAAAAATGTGCCTAAAAGATGTACCGTCTCGCAATGGGAGTCCATTTGTTCCAATGACCATCAACCTTCGCTCTAACCTGAAAAATTCTTTCCCTCTTCGAACATGCAAAAACGGAGGGATGTTTCCTCTTCTAAGTATACAAGTTGTTAAGAAGAATGCAAACTGTTAAGAAAATCAGAGCTTGAGAAGAAGGACCTCGAATGAGTACTCCCGTGGCCGCTGTGGTAGGTTGAATACTAATGCACACATCCATTCGCAGCCAAACTTTGGACATCTAAAAATCAGTGGCAGATATGCTGTCTAGTCAGCTCTTTTATACTTTGCAAAGAGGTAAATGTTCGTATAGAACTTATGCCTGATGTTATTTGCGTTGAGTTCCTTAACGGGCTATTTCCTAGTTCCTTAAGACTAGTTGCTGTCTACCGCCCACCAAATATTTCTCCTGCTGATGATGCCTCTTTCATTGAGTTTCTTTCGGATATATGTTCGTCCTCAAGTCATACCTTGCTGATTGGTGATTTTAATCTTAGTATTGACTGGCCTTCGAAGATGCCACGGAATCATTCCTCCGGCCTGTATCTCCAGTTTTTTGACAACTACGGGTTCGTGCAGTACGTGACTCACCCTACTCTCGGGTCCAACATTTTAGACCTAGTATTGTGCTCCGCACCACTCGTCACTGATGTGTCCATACTTCCCCCCTTCTCTAATGCCGATCATAATGTAGTGACATTCAAGGTTATCCAAACGATTCCTTCACATCTCCCTATACCTGTTCCGGATTTCGTCAATCTTGACTATAGGAAGTTGGATGCCTTCTTGCACTGCATTGACTGGTGGGCGGTTTTCGACAACTATACTTCTATCAATGATGTTTACAAGCGATTCTGTTTGGTGATTTATTCTGCTCTCTCTTACTTCGTTGCATTCAAGCTTCCACCTCAGCCACATCCCACATTCCCTCCACATATTGTAAACTTATTGGCCCAAAAGCAACGTCTTTTTCGTTCACGCTCAGATCCTGTGAATGATGAGTTATTCCAGAAAGTTTGTAAAGATCTTGATATTCATGTTAGGAAATTCATGGAGAATCGAGTAAAGCGGCTCTCAACTAAGTCAAACTTCAAAGGTCTTTTTCGCTTTATTAAGCACAGAGTTAAGCCTTCTTCAGGATTACCCGTGCTTTCCGATCCCTATGGTTCTTTCTTCATCTCTGATGTTGAGAAAGCCGAGGCTCTAGGAAACTACTTCTCTAGTGTTTTCTCACATGATGATTCTAACGACGGTTTCGAAATGAATAGTCAAATCCGAATCAATCACCGTCTGGAGCATATGTTCTTCCACCCTCAGGATGTTTACAAGGTGCTGGTGCACCCTAAGCCCTCTATGGCTGAGCCCTATGATGGCATCCCTCAGATTCTTTATCGTAAATGTGCGAGCTCACTCTGTCAGCCTCTGACGCATATTTTCAACTTATCTATGCTTCTCGAAGAAGTTCCTGACATTTGGAAAGAATCAATAGTTACAGCAATTCCTAAGAAATCCGACAGTAAATTTTTATCCGATTTCCGGCCCATCAGTATCACTCCCACAGCTTCCAAGGTCATGGAGAGACTTATTAGAAATAGGATGCTTGACTGGCTTCTGAAATTTAATGTCATTCCGGAGGAACAACATGGCTTCCTGAGCGGGGCTTCCACTGCATCTAATATGCTTGATTCAGTTTTCGACTGGACCACAGCCCTTAACAGTGGTGAAGCTGTTGATGTGATCTTCATAGATCTGTCTAAAGCTTTCGATAAAGTCTGTCATTCGAAGCTCCTCATGAAGCTGGATAGCCTTGGAATCTGTGGGCAGTTGTACAGTTGGT